CCGTGTTTTTCCCCTCCACATTTCGAATCGACATCAAGCGATGAGAGCATTTGGCTGCTGCAAATTTCCACGCGATGATAATGTTGATGATCAGCCGCTTCGTTGAGCTATCATTTGTGGCCAGGTCGCTCCTGAAAAAGAGCTACACAGCTCATTGGGCCTTACCTGGTAAAATATAAAACGTATACAGTTTCAACTGCCGCGCCAGGAGATCGATCATGTTGGGCAGCGCTCGCAAGTGACATCGACGCAGTGAATGTCGAAATCGTCTCTGTGGTGAGCTGTGCCCGCGGGCCTTGAGTGAATGTGCTCGTGTCTTAAACATGCTTTATGACTGCTGCGCTTTTAATTAAATGCGTTACGACTGAGAGAGAAGAGAGAGGCGCGGGTGGGGGTGAAGAGAGAGAGAGAGACAGAGAATAGAGAGAGAGAAGAGACTATCTGAAGAGAAGAGAGGAACAAATAACTCTTTCACGCCTTTTACACAAATGAATAAGGCGACTGAGATTGTAGAAGAGCGACCACACACACAACAAAAGACAAAGATCCCCCGAATAGCCTCTCGCGGACTGATGGGGCAAGTGCTGTTCGCGAGCTCCTACGAATGCCTGCACTGCACATGATAGAAGGTGGTGTGGTCAACATCACGCCCGACCGACCGCCTTTGTCTCCCCGGCGCTGGATGTTTACTGCACGCACTGGGTATGCGTTTGAGGCTGAGTCGACCGAGGTTCAGGCCCCGGGACCGGTTCAAATATTAGTCACCGATGTTGGCCTTGAGCTGGAAATTGAACTCGGGGTCGCCGCGGTCGCACCCCCAGCGCGCTCACCACTACACCATCGCTCCCCACTACACCATCGCTCCCCGCTATCGGTATACGACAAGGTATCACACGCGCACCAAACCAAAGACAAAGATCCCCCGTGTAACCTTGAACAGACTGTCGGGTCAAGTTCCCTTAGCGAGCACTTATGAAGGCCAAAGCGGCAAACGAGGGGATGGGTGGCCAGCTCCGAGCGCCGGCAGCCTTTGTCTCCCCAGTGACGATGTTTACACACCACCATCAGCACCACATACACATTTGAGGTTGAGTCGACCTAGGAGAGGCCCAGGACCGGTTTTGGCCGTGAGCCGGTATCGAACTCGGATCGCCGGGTGCGCAGCGCGCTAACCGCTGCACCACCGCTCCTCACAACGCACACACGCACTAATCTCGTACCACACACACACACTGATCTCTCTCTCCCGTACACTAATCTCTCACACATACGCACGTGGGAAAGCTGACTTGGCAGAAAACTAACCCCCGTTGACTTTCCACTGATGTAACACCCTCCCCTCCCCACGCGCGTTATACTTCACGATCTGTCTCCAACAGACGTATGCCCCGCAAGTTTCTCGCAAGCGTGCCAATGCGATCCATGAGCTCGCTCGCAATGCTAAGCGATGGTCAGGAATATCATCCCACGACCGCCGTCCTGGCATGCTGTTCTGGCCTCAATAGGTGCTCGACTCACAACACTTGGCCGCCCACATCCTACCCGCGTTCGCACGCGTGTTGAACTTTTTTCGCACCCTACGTAGGCAAACCCGCGCTAATCGGGGGTGCCGGGGAAGGACAGCAAGCGTGTGGTACAGGAGTAGTTTTGGTACGCTGCTCATAAGAGGGAGTTATGGACAATCAAATATGAATTTATTTTAAAAAAGCATCGTTCAATCGGGGTGATAAACGTGAACAAATATTGCAATGATGTACGCACGCTTGCCATTGTCATCGAGAGAGATGTATAAAGAGGAACACGTGGAATTGCGAGTTAAGAATAACATCATCACCATCATCATTCAAATTGTTAAGAAGAGTCATTGGGGGATGGGGGAGGTGCATGGGCAAAAGAACTCGTCACGGCTAAGAGGAGTCGGGAACGAGAGCCGACGGTCGAGGCGCATAACAGAGTGGCAGCCAAAGGGAATGGGTGATACGTCCACCGAGGAGATGGAGCGATGGAACGAGTTCGCGTGCCTGTAACTGGGTGAAGCGTCAGAGGCTGGCGCAGCGGGGGCAGCTTTTGGAGAACGCTTCGGCGTTATCATCCAGCCGTGAAGAATTACACACTGCCCGCTCGCTATGAAGGCGCAGTTAACGGCGATTGATCTCGTGCGAGTCGTCGTCGCAATATCCGCTCGGCGTTGTCTCTCATCAATTCATAGCACGCATCATTGCTATTCACGCTCATCACGAAGAGCACACGCGCACGCAACGAAGGCAAATATTCCCCGTGTAGATGCGGGTTTTTTTTTTAAACGCGCTCTCTGGGCAAAGCGGTGTTAGCCAGCACCTATTAAAAGCCGGCACAGCGCACGAAGGCGATGGTGTAGTCAAGCAGCACCAAGACCGGCTACCCTTGTCTCTCCCCCCCTCCCCTCCCACCACCGAGGCCAGTAATCGAACTCGGGTCGCCGGGTTCGTAACGCAGCGCGCTAACCACTACACTACTGCTCTCCACATACGCTTCCATGTACACACGAACACGCGCGTATCACAGTCGAATGTGTTGTGTGGTGTGTAGGTGCTCGCTTATGAACTGTTTGTTCATGAGATAAAGAACATTATTGCGTGTCTTTGTCTTCGTCTGTGTTACTGGCGTGTAACAGATTAGCTGTATGTACCATACCGATGTGTGTGTGTGTGGACTGTTCTAAGTGTATTCGTGTGTGTACTAGTGTGTACTGATGTTCACACGGCGAATGATAGCTTCGTAAAAATACAAAGATCCCCCCCCCGTATAGCCTGAACAAACTGTTGGGGGAAATGCCTTGAGCGAGCACCTATGAAGGCCGGCACGGCACAAAAGGGGGGGGGGTGGATAACCAGCACTACGCCCGGCCGCCTTTGTCTCCCCAGTGGCGATGCTTTACACATCAAACCGAAAAAACTAATTTGAGGCTGGGTCGACCTAGGCGAGGCTCAGGATCGGTTCACGCGATCGGCACTGGCGTTGGTTGACCGTGAGCGGGAATCGAACTCGGGGTTTTCGTAGCCGAGCGCTCTCACCACTGCGCTACCGCTCCCCCAGGTATCCGCGTATGCGCTGCGCGGTCTGTGATTGGCGGCAGCGGTGCGTGCATGGGGGAGCGGTGGCGCGCTGGTTAGCGCGCTACGCTTCGAACCGGGCGACTCGAGTTCGATTCCCGCTCACGACCAATAAAAGTGACGATTATTTTAACTTTTGCCGGACCTCCCCTCGGTCGAGTCAGCTTTGAACGAGTGCCTGGTGCGATGCGTAAAGCATCGCCACTTGGGGGGGGGGGGGGGGGAGACAAAGGCGGCCGGGCGTGGTGTTAGCCACCCAACTCCTCGTGTGCCGTGCCAGGCATTCAGAGGTGATCGCTAACAGCGCTTGCCCCCAATAGTCTGGTAACAGTACCGCCCCAACAGTGCACACAGATGCTCCTCCACACGGACGACGATCTTTGTGCACGAGCCTGCCTGTTCTAGCGTGTGTGCACTCACGTGTACTCGTTTGTGTGTGTGTGCTAACGTATGTGTGTTTGCTACTTTGTGAATGTGCTAAATGTATGTGTCAGTGTGTGCATTCGTACGTGTATATGAGTATGTGCATGTGCTAGCGTATGCACTGGTTATCTGTGTATGGTACTACTACGTGCATGTGCGAGTGTATGTACTGGCGTATACACCAGTATGTGTGTGCACTAACGTATGCTGGCGTGTCTGCTAGTGTGGTTATACCAACCAGCATGTGTCGGTACTAATAGCACATGTACGAATACGCACACACAAGTCCGTCTGGGTATGCGTACGCGTGTGTGGAAGCACCCAGTGACCCAAGACAGCTGCCGCTACTAGCGACACGTACTTGCGAGAGAGACGCGACGGGAGGAGGAGGATGAGATGGAGATGACCGAGAAACCTTGGCAGCGAATAGCAGCGGCGGCGGCAGCAGCAGCAGCTCGTTGTGAGCTCGCACTTAGGGAGCGAAGCGTACAATGCCCGTGTCTGGCCCGCGTTATCACTTTCGTTCAGCCGCTTAGAATTTGACTCCAGAATTCACTCAACGGGAGCCATTCATCGCCCCCGGGATCAGATAATGTGTGAAAACGACAACCTACAAATTGCCCGGTGCAATTTCTCTCTTGGTGTCTGTCTCCCTGTCTCGCTTACTCTCTCTACATATATATTGTAACGCACACACACTCATAATACACACGTGTGTGTGTGCGTGTGCTGTTTTAGTGGGGAGCGGTAGTGTAGCAGTTAGCGCGCTGCGCTATGAACCCGGCGACCCGGGTTCTATTCCCGCTCACGGCCAACATCAGTGACGATTATCAGAACCGGTCCTGGGCCAGGTGCCTGGTGCGATGTGTAAACATCGCCACTGGGGAGACAAAGGCGGTCGGGCGTGGTGCTGGCCACCCACCCCCTCGTGTACCGTTCCGGCTTCCATAAGTGCTCGCTAACAACACTTGCCCCGACAGTCTGTAAAGGTTATACGGGGGATCTTTGTCTTTGTGCTGCTGTACGTGTATGTATATAACCGCGTGTGAGTATGTGTGTATGTTATGCGTGTCAAGCTGCTATACTTTCCCCTCTCGCTGTCAGCTATAGCCCCTACTCAATCACGCACCTATAAGGACGTAGGTGTGTGTGTGTGGGAATGAAAATGACTCAATTGAGATTATAACGCGCCAATCATCGCCCCTTACCGGCAGACTAATGCCTCGTGTCACCCGTGCAAATGAGACTCATCCTGATCCCTTGAGTTCTTACTTGGCTAAACAAACGAATACCCGCGCGTGCGTGTCAGTGTGTGTGCGTGCGTGCATGCGTCCATATGCACGCGTGCCAACATCCCATTCATACTGCCCCCTCTAAAATCACACGCAGTACAAATGAATGAATGGATATTCACCACGTGTGTGCGTGTACAGCGTGTGTATATGTCCGTATGTACGTGCGTACATACATACCCCGTGTACCCACCTCCTACGATATCCACAGCGCCGTCCCGCTCAGACACGCACACACGTGTGCCGCAAGAGAGAATGAATGAAGGCACCACGTGTGCGTCTTCGTGTGCGCGCGTTATCAGCGCTTTGTGTGTATGCCACCGCGCGTGTGTCGAGCTACCGCTACTATGCACGCCGACTGGCACACACGCACACACACACGTGCCTGGCACGCACCGGCAGCCTTCTGCCTCCTCCTCCTCCTTGTCGCCTTTGCCGTTTGACGCCGACAGCCCCAATGCACGGACAACGAAAGCGACGCGCGGCCAGGCAGCTGGGTGGAGCTTTCTTATCCGACGCCTCGCCATTGGCCGGAGAGGCGGTTTGGGTGGTGGTGGTGGTGGTGATGGAGGGAGGTGGTGGTGGTCATGGAGGGAGGTGGTGGTGGTGGTGGTCATGGAGGGAGTTGGTGGTGGTGATAGAGGGAGGTGGTGGTGATGGAGGAGGGAGGGAGGAGAGTGGAGGGAGGAGGGCAGTGGTGGTTGTGGAGGGAGGAGGGAGGCTGTAAAGGGAGGGAGGGTGGTGGTAGTGGTAGAGGGGGGAGGTGGTATTCGTTGCACGTGCTTAGTCAGACGAAACCAAAAATGCGATCAAAATGTGTCAAGACCGTATTCTGCAACGTAGTGAGACCGCTGCTGTTGCTGATAATAGTAAACCGCTGCGTCTGTGTACAACCGTCTATGTGAATCAACCGCTGGATGGATTAAGGTCTTTCAGTGATCAGGGTGGAGAGAGAGGGGGGGGGATGGTTTCTTGACTATATTTAACCACGCTGGTTAATGATAATAATAATACGGGTTGGTGAAGGGTGGCGACGGGGAAGGTGGAGTGGCAGAACTGGGTGTAATATTACTCGTCGCTGAACTTACAGCCGCGACCGGAAATCGCGCTCAGGAAGACGGAATTGGCATTGCGGTGCGCTAACCACTGCGCCACCGCTCCACTCTTGATCATAGCGGTGGTGGCGTTAGCTGCCGCGCTGCGGTGAGACAGTGTCGGGACTGTCGTAAGTGCACAAACAGAACACACGCTTGTGACGGTATTGTCTTTGTGGACTCAGCCTCAAATGATACGAACACACACACGGGACACACACAGGAACATTGCCACGAGGGAGACAAAATCGGACGGGCTTGGTGCTGGCCACCCACCCCCTCGTGTGCCGTGCCGGCCTTCATAGAGGCTCGCTAACAGCACTTGCCCCCAATGTCTTGTGTTGTTGTCTTGTGTGTCTGTGAGGAGCGGTGGCGCAGCGGTTAGCACACCGCGCGACGAAAACCGGCCGACGACACGAGTTCGATTCCCGGCTCACGGTAACCAACACCCGGTGACGATGATCTGAACCGGTCCCGGGCCGGTTCAGATAACCCATGTCGGTGTTTATAGCTTCAGCGCTGCCGCGTGCGGCGAGTGCAAACCACTGCGCCAACACGCTCCACTCAACGTACACACACAGGAGACACACACATGGGACAGGGGGGACACACAGGAGACACACACAGGAGACACACACGGGACACACACAGGACACACACAGGACACACACACAGGACACACACAGGACACACACACAGGAGACACACACAGGAGACACACACAGGAGACACACAGGGGACACACACAGTGGACACACACAGGAGACACACACAGGAGACACACAGGGGACACACAGGAGACACACAGGAGACACACACAGGGGACACACACAGGAGGCACACACATGAGACACACACACGGGACACACACACAGGAGACACACACAGGAGACACACACAGGAGACACACACAGGGGACACACACACGGGACACACACAGGAGACACACACAGGAGACACACACAGGGGACACACACAGGAGACACACACATGAGACACACAGGAGACACACACAGGAGACACACACAGGAGACACACACAGGAGACACACACAGGGGACACACACACGGGACACACACAGGAGACACACACAGGGGACACACACAGTAGACACACACACACGGGACACACACAGGAGACACACACACGGGACACACACAGGAGACACACACACGAGACACACACAGGAGACACACACACAGGGGACACACACAGGGATACACACACACAGGAGACACACACAGGCTGCGCGCGATTGTTCAACTGTCCAGGAACAGCTGAGGTCACCACAACCGCCGCGCTTGTGTTCAGAGTTGGCAAACGACGCCCCCCTGTGCGCCTATGGGTGGAGGGTTCAGGTGTGTGCGTCTCGTGTGTGTGTGTGTTGTGGGGAGCGGTAGTGTAGCGGTTAGCGCGCTGCGCTATGAACCTGGCGACTCGTGTTCGATTCCCGCTCACGGCTAACACCAGTGGCGATTATCTGAACCGGTCCTGGGCCTCCCCTAGGTCGACTCAGCCTTAAATGAGTACCTGGTGCGGTGTGTAAACATCGCCACTGGGGAGACAAAGGCGGTCGGGCGTGGTGCTGGCCACCCACCCCCTCGTGTGCCGTTCCGGCCTTCATAGGTGCTACTCGCTAACAGCACTTGCCCCTACAGTCTGTTAAGTCTATATGGGGGATCTTTGATCTTTGTCGCCGGGTTCGTAGCGTGCTGCGCACGATCGTGAAGGAATAGTTCGAGAGAAAGAGGGGGAGCGGTGGATTAGCCGCGACCCGGGTTCGATCCCCGCTCGTGAGCCTCCCCTAGGTCGACTCAGCCTCAAATGAGTAACTGATGCGGTGTGTAAGCATCGCCACCAGGGTGACAAAGGCGGCCAGGAGTGGTGTTGGCCACCCACCCCCTCGTGTGCCGTTCCGGCCTTCATAGGTGCTACTCGCTCACAGCACTTGCCCCAACAGTCTGTTAAAGGCTTCAACGGGGGTATATTTGTCTTTGGTGTTCAGGAAATAAGTACCTGGGGACCGGTATCAGCAATGGGGAGACAACGGCGATCACTTCATAGTTTCCTGCTAACAGCAGCTGCTCAGACGGCGGGGGGGGGGGGCTTTGTCTCTTTGTGTGTGGTGGTGTGGTGGTGTGATTGTGTGGTGGTGGTGTGTGGTGGTGGTGTGTGGTGGTGGTGTGTGGTGTGGTGTGGTGGTGTGGTGGTGGTGTGTGGTGGTGTGATGGCGTGGTGATGGCGTGGTGGTGGTGTGATGGTGTGTGGTGGTGTGGTGGTGTGGTGGTGGTGTGTGGTGTGGTGGTGTGATGGTGTGATGGTGTGTGGTGTGGTGTGGTGCTGTGTGCTGTGTGGTGTGGTGGTGTGTGGTGGGGTAGTGTGTGGTGTGGTGTGGTGGTGTGTGGTGGTGTGTGGTGGTGGGTGGTGTGGTGGTGTGTGGGGTGTGGTGTGGTGCTGTGTGGTGTGGTGCTGTGTGGTATGGTGGTGTGTGGGGTGTGGTGTGGTGCTGTGTGCTGTGTGGTGTGGTGGTGTGTGGTGGGGTAGTGTGTGGTGTGGTGGTGTGTGGTATGGTGGGGTGTGGGGTGTGGTGTGGTGGTGTATTGGTGTGTGGTGTGGTTCTGTGTGGTGCTGTGTGGTGTGGTGGTGTGTGTGGTGTGTGTGATGTGTGTGGTGTGCGGTGTGGTGGTGTGCGATGTGATGGTGTGTGGTCGTGTGGTGTGGGGGTATGTGGTGTGGTGATGTGTGATGTGGTGGTGTGTGATGTGGTGGTGTGTGGTGTGTGGTGGGGTGGTGTGTGGTGTGTGGTGTGGTGGTGTGTGGTGTGTGATGTGCTGGTGTGCTGGTGTGTGGTGGTTTGTGGTGTGGTGGTGTGTGGTGTAGTAGTGTGTGGTAATGTGGTGGTGTGTGGTGTGTGGTGTGGTGGTGTGTGGTGTAGTAGTGTGTGGTGATGTGGTGGTGTGTGATGTGGTGGTGTGTTGTGTGTGGTGTGCTGGTGTGTGGTGGTTTGTGGTGTGGTGGTGTGTGGTGTAGTAGTGTGTGGTAATGTGGTGGTGTGTGGTGTAGTAGTGTGTGGTGGTGTGTGGTGTGTGGTGTGGTGGTGTGTGATGTAGTAGTGTGTGGTGATGTGGTGGTGTGTGATGTGGTGGTGTGCTGGTGTGTGGTGGTTTGTGGTGTGGTGGTGTGTGGTGTAGTAGTCTGTGGTGGTGTGTGGTGTGGTGGTGTGTGATGTGGTGGTGTGCTGGTGTGTGGTGGTTTGTGGTGTGGTGGTGTGTGGTGTGCTGTGGTGGTGTGGTAGTGTGTGGTGTGGTGGTGTGTGGTGTGGTGGTGTGTGATGTGGTGGTGTGTGGTGGTGTGTGGTGTGGTAGTGTGTGGTGGTGTGTGGTGTGGTGGTGTGGTGGTGTGTGGTGTGGTAGTGTGTGGTAGTGTAGTGGTGTGGTGGTGGTGTGGTGTGTGGTTGTGGTGGTGTGTGGGGTGTGTAGTCTATGCGTGATCCGTGCCTCTGGTGGTCTGGTGTGTGTGGTGTAAGGCGTTGTTCTGGCCTTCATAGGTGTTCGCTAACAGCGCATGTTCCAAACAGGGTGCGTAGCCTATACGGGCGATGTTCGTTTTGTGTGCATGCATACAGAACATGAAACCTAATTGTGTATGTATACGCACGAATTTCGAGATGAAATAATGTCGACCTTGTAAGCGGCTGAGACGTCTTATAATGGGATCGTGCATAGGACGCGTATCTCTTAGCACGCGACAGAAATATTAAATCACAGACGCCTCTGAAACAAATGAGTGGTGCGTGTGTGTGCGCGCACTAACGCTCCCGTGTGTGATTTAATTATGCGTGTGTGCGTGTCTGTGAGAGGCCGAGTTCTGTTCCCGCTCACGGCCAACACCCAGTGATGATTTTCTGAACCCGTGCTGTGCCTCCCCTGGGTCGACTCAGCCTCAAATCAGTTTCATGGTGCGATGTGTATAAAACATCGGCACTGGGGAATACAAAGGTGGCCGAGCGTGGAGCTGGCCACCCACCCCCTCGTGTCCCGTGCCGGCCTTCATAGGTACTCGCCAACAACACTTGCCCCAAAATCATGTGAAGGTTATACGGGGGATCATTGTCTTTGTATCGGGGGAGCTGTGGCGCAGCTGTTAGCGCACTGCGCTACGAATACGGCGTCCAGGCTGCGGTTAACATGACCGGTAATTATCTGAACCGGTCTTGTACCTCCACTAGGTCGACTCGGTCTCAAATTATTACACGGTTCGGTGGCGAAAACCATCGGCACCAGGGAGACAAATACCTAAATAGGTGCTCGCTAACACAGACATGGACCACCACCGGCCT